TCAATCTTCACAGAAGCAAAGCCCAAACCACACCCACTGCCGTGGAGTCGATTCTGACCCACAGCGCCCCTAGAGGACAGAGTGGAACTGCCCCAGAGGGTCTCCAAGGCTGTCAATCTTCACAGAAGCAAAGCCCAAACCACACCCACTGACATGGAGTCTATTCTGACTCACAGCGCCCCTAGAGGACAGAGTGGAACTGCCCACAGGGTTTCCAAGGCTGTCAATCTTCACAGAAGCTAACTGCCACATCCTTCTCCCAAGAAGCTGCTGGTGGTTCGAACCACTAACTTTTTGGTTAGCAGCTGAATGCTTAACTGTTGTGCTACCAGGGATCCCAAATGGAGATTCCAGATCCTGAAGAGTCCATATCTAAGCACCTACAACACCTCACTGCCCACCCACGTCTCGCCATCATCCAAGCACTCAGCTTCCCTGCATCAGTGCCTGGAGGACTACCTTTGGGTGGCCCTTCATGTACCTAACCTGACAGGCCGAGGAAAACAAAACCCAAACTCGCTGTCATCAAGTTGATTCCAACTCATAGGGTGCCCCCTAGGTGTCTAAGGCTGTAAATCGTTAGAGAAGCAGACTGCCCCATCCTCCTTCCATAGAGTGGCTGGTGGGTCTGAACTGCCAACTTTCTGGTTAGCAGTCAAATGCCTTAGGTACTGCGTCACCAGAGCTCCTCTCCCTTGTTATATGGCAGAGGCAATAACCACCCAGAAAGCAAAGTGTCACACAAGGTCACAGAGCCACACCAGCGCGGGTCTGCTGGCCTGGAGTGGGGCGATTTAACCCGATCTCCACTCTGGCATTACAGGTGGGTCGGAAATGATATCACTGCATAGCAAGGTGGGGAGGAAGTGAAGAGGAAATGATCCAGTAATGAGCCAAGACCAGTGGGATTTGTGAAACAGCAGCTGAGTGGAAAAATCATTGGTAAGAGAACTTGGTATGAGAAGACAGGGATGGGGGGTGCCAACAAGAGACGTTTAGTGACCATCCCGGCTGGTCCCCACCAACGGACCGGCAGGTTTCCACATGCCAACAGGACCGGGAGGAGACTCTGAGGGGCTTGCTCCTCGGCAAGACCCGGGCTCCCCGCAAGGGGTCTGTGTGCCAGATGTTGGGGGGGAGAGGAAGGAAGGGCAGCAGGGACCTGTCCCTCAGGACCCACTCCTCTTAGCTCCTGGTAGCGATTTGCTTCCTTTGCTCACGTCAATGGCGGATCATCACAAACCACAGGTTAGTGAACAAACTGCTGGCATAAAAAAGTTCAAAGGGAAGATTTGTCATTTCTACACACCTCTTGGCAGAAAAGGTTGTGCTCTGGGAAGGATGCAAAAAAAAAAAAAAAAGCCTTCTGAACTTAATTTGTTTTTTGTGAGGGAGGAAGGTACTTTAAGAAACCAAATCAAACACCAAAAGCTGGCCTTTCTCCTAGGCCCTTCCTGCAGACTCCAACCTTCAACCTTTCTGTCAGCAGCTGAGTGTGAAGTGGGTGTGAAAACTCCTTTGTACTCCCACTGTTTCTTAATTTGGTGAGAAATGGGACTGACAATGTATTCAGAAAGAGAACATAACCGGTCTAGGCTCTCACCCTCTCAGGGATGTGGTCTCCCAGTGAGCTGATGCCCTCACAAAAACAAAAGCCAGGCCGAAGGTTAAAGGCAAGCGGTTAAACAGCATCCCGCCTCCCCCTGCTGCAACTTTCACAGAGTAAAGTGACCATCGGAAGGTGCTGGGCCCCTCAGGATGGGCGCCTTTTCTCCACATTACACTGGTGACATCCTCAGGACCAAAAGCTGTTAAGTGTGCCCATGCGGGGACTCCTAGAGGAGGTATTGGGGCCCAGACGCATGCCAGGAGCAGATCGCTGAGCCACTGGGATCCCGCCTCATGCACGCCTAGGCTCCTAACATTAGGACAAGTCCACCCACCTGGGCCTGCACAGCCGGAAAGTGCATGCATGCGTGTGCCCAGGCACACAATTAGAAAAGCCACTCAGAGAACAGACTCTTAACACTGGGAAGGCTTCAGCACCATCTTCAGAGGGAAAAACCAAACCCACTGCCATGGAGTCAATTCTGACTCACAGCGCCCTTAGAGGACAGAGTGGAATTGCCCACAGGGTCTCCAAGGCTGTCATCTTTACAGAAGCAAAGCCCAAACCATACCCACTGCCATGGAGACGATTCTGACCCACAGCACCCCTAGAGGACAGAGTGGAACTGCCCCACAGGGTTTCCAAGGCTGTCAATCTTCACAGAAGCAAAGCCCAAACCACACCCACTGCCGTGGAGTCGATTCTGACTCACAGCGCCCCTAGAGGACAGAGTGGAACTGCCCACAGGGTTTCCAAGGCTGTCAGTCTTCACAGAAGCAAAGCCCAAACCACACCCACTGCCCTGGAGTCAATTCTGACTCACAGCGCCCCTAGAGGACAGAGTGGAACTGCCTCACAGGGTTTCCAAGGCTGTCATCTTTATGGGAGCAGATCACCAGTTCCTTCTCACACAGAGATGCTGGGTGGGTTTGAACCGCCAACCTTTCTGTTAGTCGCTCACTGCTCAACTGTTGTACTACCAGGGATGGCTTTTGAATCAGGCAGATGATTCAAAAGCTGGTGGCTGCTCAGAGAGAGAGACACAGAGAGAGAAAGAGAGAGAATCTCGTAGGTGCACACATTTTGTGGGTTACATTGTGAGGGACACAAAAAAATTACGTAGCTAACCTCTTACCTTTCAGCAGGTACAACCAAACTGTGAAGACCACACACACACACACACACACACACAGCCAAGTCACAGGAGACTGGCAGGGATAACGAGGTGGCTGGAGCATGGTGTGTGGAGTAAGACAGGCAGACCAGCCCGCTTAGGAGAGCCTTATGGGGCCAGTCCAGCTGAAGGACTTAGACCCTGACTGAAACGTACAAGGTTTGATTCAGTAAAAGAAGCACGTCAAGGAAACTCTTTCGGAAAGACTAACATGGTCTAGTCATGAAAGACAGGAGGGAGGCTTTGAAAAGGATGACCTGGAGCACTTTAACTGGCGCATGGTCCAGCCCGCTCCCTTTCTAGCAGCACTTCAATATGTTTGCCTTTGGGTGTGACGCTGTAATCCCACCAATAAAACACCTTTGCTGACACAGATCCCATGGCCTTTCCTATTTGCCTGCCAGTTGTTCTCCGAGTTTTCCTCTCCAGGAGCCCTGACACGGACGCAATGCACTTGCCCAGAGTTGCCATGGAAATTATCTATGTGGTCCGGGTCTCAGTCTTGCAGCTGCCAGCCCAGCAAATAATCCTTCAGCAGGAAATACCACATTTTACGTAGCTCTTCCTCTCCTGTCCCAGTCACCCCATTAGCGGCCGACATTTCAGACCTCTACCCCAAAGGGAAAGCATTTATAACTTGATAAAAGACCAGAGCCTCCTGGCCTAGTTCCTTCTCTTCGATGCTCAAAAACTAATTTTTCCAACCATGAGATGTTGTTTGTATGTAATATACCCAGAGAAAAGGAGCCTGGTGGTGTGGTGGTGAAATACTCAGGTACCAACCCAAAGGTCAGTGGCTTGAGCCCACCAGCTGCTCCAAGAGAAAGATGAGCCAGTTGGCTTCTGTGAAGACTGACAGCCTTGGAAACCCTGTGGTGCAGTTCCACTCTGTCCTCTAGGGGCGCTGTGAGTCAGAATGGACTCAGTGGCAGTGGGAGTGGTTTGGGCCAGTTGAGCCAGTTGGCTTCTATAAAGATTGACAGCCTTGGAAACTCCATAGGTCAGCTCTACTCTGTCCCACTGGATCACTATGTGTTAGAATTGACTTTAAGGCAATGGGTTTAGAAGCACTGCTAGCACAGTGGTGAAGTGCTCAGCTGCCAACCAAAAGGTTGATGGTTCACATCTACCCAGCAGCTCCACAGGAGACAAGACTTAAGTATCTGCTCCCGTAAAGATGACAGCCTAGGAAACCCTATGGGGCAATTCCACTCTAT